TGCTATACGGCGTGATGATGACAAATAATAGAATCATTTACAACATTATTTAGCTCTGACGCAACATCGAACCACTGTTAATCATCAACATAAGCATAAATATGATGCCAACATTATTAACAACAGTTAGTAAGTAAGTAAGTAAATAAACAATAATAAAACCTATCGAGTTCTTAGGTTTTCGCGATTGTTACACATAGGAAATGAAACTATTTTTCTGGATTTTATTTCAAGCACCGGAGGAGTGCGGTCTCTCTTATATTGGACAAACGAAGCGAAGTATTTGTACCCGCGTCAAAGAACATATAGCTGATGTCAAACACCGTCGCGTAAGCAAGTCTGCAGTCTGCGTGCGTGTCATGAATAAACCTACACATTCAATGAAGTTTGACAAACTTCAGGTCCTTGCAAAAGAAGTCCGTTATCTACCCAGGATGCTGCGAGAGGCCATTGAAATTAAAAAAACATCCTAATTTCAACAGGGAAGATAGTTGCTCCGTACCACCAGTTTGAGATCCAGTATTTCCTCTAATGAAAAATCCCAAACAGACATAAGACTGCACTACTAATTAATATGTTTTAGTTTATTCTAATTTCTATTATTGATTAATAATAAATTGAACTTAATAAAAATTCATTCAATAAAATAATTTGTAACACGTAATGTAGCGTAAATTGGAATGTTTCCTTTGTAAAATTAAAAATAAGGTATTTAATTAATAACTATTGTAACTATAGTAAAAAAAATAGGGTAGTTTGCATCAATATTAGACATAACTGGTTGAAGACTGTACCACCTTTTTTTTTTTGTTAATCCGGGGGAATCTGCTTACAGATACCCCGGCCCCGCGGGGGCAGAGCCTGGGTTATGTGGGACTGGGCTGAACCCTGAAGGGGAGCAGCCCGACCGCACCAAACCCCCGGAGTGTTCCTCCTCTCCGCTGTAGGTGGGGGTACGGGTACGCTGTTGCACTCGTCCGCGCCCCCACCAGCGGCTGGCCGCGCTCTGCGCAGCCCCTCCCCGAGAAGGGAGACACATTGGTCCCCCGACTCCGAATGTAAGGCTCGCCGAACACCAGACGAGCCTTCCATCCCGGGCCCCTTTATGCTGGGCAACGAACTCTTAGCTTCACCGTGGGATGAAATCGACCACGGCTACTAGAGCCCCCCCGCCACGACAAGGCGGGAACCCCTTCGGGGGGGAGACTGTACCACCTCAGTCAACCGTGACTATGGGACCTGTAAAGGGCCCGAAACGTCGGTTTGTTTGAAAAAAAAAAACAAATATACGCGATTTAAATCCGGAAAAATAGTTTCATTTCCTATAATAATAAAACCGTCCATTATGACAAAACTTAGGTAAAACTCAGATTGCCGCGGAACGTAAGGGAAGTCGATTTCTGTAGCCATAGCTTAATAATATATACCTACTGTAAAGTTACGCTGTTGTAATCTAATTAAATTCAAACTTTCAAATGACATAATTCTGCTTATTATAAGACGTATTTCTTATTATAGGACATATTTTTATTTTATATTATTATTAGATAAATAACAATTGTAATTAATGATTGAAACCTCGGCCTACCTCTGCTCTTATTGTTACCCCTAATAAGGGATTAATTTTAAGACATGTACCATATGCAATAAATATATTGAGTATTAACTTTATGTCAATTTTGTAACGTACAAACAAGATACGAGCGAAAAAAAAACAGATCACGCCTCTTCCGAAGAATTCCGGATTCCTTACCTATCTTTGCTGCCAAGCCGTAACATGAGTATTTATATAGGCTTTGAAGGGAAAGGGTTTTGCTGATATTGCAGGCAAATGGGACTTGTGTCTCAGAATGATGGGCAGTGGCCAGGCACCTTGTGATTTAAAGCTCTTAAGTGGCACAGTGTTTTGGCGTGTCGCTTACCACCAGGCGCACGACTAGTTCATTCGGTCACTTGGTATCATAAAATAATTATAACTTTTTTTATTAAAAAACCGATCTCAAAAGTTAGTTGAATTACATTTGCCAAGTTTAATTTGAAATCCGTTACCGGAAAGTGCGCGTAGCCGGATTCATCCCCTAGTTCGCCACCATTAGAGGTGGAATATTTTCTTTAAATTTAAATGGGACCAATATTGAGGTACCCTCTTTCCGACAAAATAGAATCATCAAAAACGGTTCACAAACGCGTAACATACGCACAAAAAAAAAACACAGCCGAATTGGGAACCTCCTCCTTTTTGAAGTCGGTTAAAAAGTATATTATTGCCATAACAAAATTATATCGTTCCTCTAAAATTACAAGTAACTTAAAATTTCGACGAAATAAGTTTTAGACACAGTCCGATTGAAAACTTTATGTAAGAATTTTTTTTTTCTTTAAAATTGTTAGTTTCGTTCAGTTAGTGTTGCGAGGACGATATTCACAAGTTAGTTTAAATTACTAATAATATTCTTACTTGCATTCTCGACTAACGGTGGGCGTACATTTGTGTCACCTTATCGTACTTTATCTCCGCGGTGGTGTTACACGGACGTGTATCACATGATCGCGTATCATTTCACGTCCAAGTCTAAATCAGAGGTTCCCAAAGGCTTGTGTCTCGTAAACCACGTGGCAAACTTTTCAAATATTCAGGGTTATTACTACAATACCTATAGTGCGCTATCTCAATCGGAATAAGTTTTGAGAAAATCCACTTTTTGTAAATTCTACTTTCGCACCTTCTAAAAGAAATCTTTTTGAAGATGTTAAAACTTATTTATATGTATTTTTGACTAATAGATTTAATGACATGCCTAAATTATCCATAAATTTTACTATTGTAGTGAGATACCGGTAATCAAAAGATTATAAAGAAAGCCGCCGAATCTATTAGTAATCTAAGGAAAAATTGATTTATTAAAAATACTTCGTTGGTGGTTTTTTAAATGTTTTAAGTTAGATAGCGCTGTTTCTATTATACCATTAGGTGCGAAATTGTTATAGCTATTTATTGATATAAAAAAAACTAAATGGGCGTATCTCAGAGATAACGCCTTTCGGCTTAGCAAGGCAGTCTATTATGGTGTAAAAACATATATTATGTTACGATGATTTGGTGTTGGAATAACTTGTCTCCTTCAATAACAAACTGGTTACTTTCGAGGCAAAGAATGGCAACAAAGTGGATGTAGTACAAGGTAATTTGTAAAATACTGACAACCTCACAGGATTGTATTACTAACATCATAAACAACAACTTTTGTTTCATGGCTTTTAATTACTTATTGGATTTTGCTTTCATACAAAAATATTTAAATACCGCTCTAAACGATGATAACTCTGTGCAGTAGCAAAAGAAAGCACGTGGGAGGCGTTGGTAAACAACGTACTACCAAACAGATCTGAAAAATATCAGACAGTACAACAAAATAATGAAAGCTTATTTCTGATAAATTTCTGGTGTTTGTGAAAAGTCATGGAATGGCTGCAAGGTTGATAGTATTATACAAATAACCCTGTATATTCTATGAATAAATATAGTATATACATTATTGCAGAGACTGGGAAGTAACGGAACGCTGCCGAGGCATGTATAGTGCTTTTCTTAAACAATGTGCGGAGATAATAAAAGACTAAAGAGGCTGTGTACAATAAAAAAGGAAAAAAATATTAAAAGTAATTATAGACATGTTAATTGGTAGCCTTGGTAGCCTAATGGTTTGACTTACTACTGTATTTTTGTAATCGGTCTTCTCATTAGAACTCATTTTAGCGACGAAAGTACAAAAAAGACGAAAGAAACAGAAAAGAATACCTCAGCAGTTTAATTTACTTGGCCGCCTTTTTTTTAAAAAAAGTACACGGAACAGACTTGGCAGATGGCTGTACAAGTTTTTCTATTGCCTGATAACATAATTCATAGTAGATATAGATTCAAAAGTGTAGAACAGCGCACAGTAATGGATTTTCATACTTTGCAGATCTAGGACGAGAAGATGTCGCACGGTCCTTAAATGATAACATTTCCGTGTTCGTTTTTTGAAATTAATGCAAACATTTCCGGGCATGTTTGGGAAAAATACTATTCCATACAATATCGCAGCGAACATATATACAATATCGTTGCATTAGTAAATAAGTTTCTATATAAACAATTGTCACGCATAAATTGATACAATGGGAAAGACGTTATCGGTCTCGGCGAACGTTAGAAATAGCTACCTTGAGTTTACAGTGTTAGTCGCTACCGACCGCAACTCGTGAACAATTTGCGAATTGCCTAAGGCACATTGTACAGCGCCCCTAGCGGGCTCAAAGAGAACTAATACTTGATCATTCATCTCTTTGTAAAATATAGGCCGTAATGGCCCCCATATCTTATTCATTCTTCCATATCAAGATCTTATGGGGGTACTCTCCTAACATCTGGGTGGGAGGAGGAGGGTGCTTCTACTGCTTCCTTTTGAGAGATTTTTTTATAACATCAAGTGACGGGACGAATAAGTTGTCCGCCTGATGGTAAGCTACACGCCTGTCCATAACAGTTACAGCGCCACTCAAAGCTTTAAATCACAAAGATCTGAGGTGTCCTGTCACTGCGCCCGACACTCTTGAGGCATACATATGCCTTTAATTTCACCAGCACCCTTACCTTTCGAGACCGGAACACTGCGTTCCGATGCTCACATTATTGCTTGGCGGCAGAAATAGGTATGGTGTCAGTACATCCCAGGACAAACTCTTTCACAAGGAGCTCTACTAATGTATCATTACCGCGATGCAAAAACTTTATGCAATACGTTATTTATTTATAGCTTTTAATCCAATTTTAAAACATACACTGTAAATGATAAATATGTACAAACATCTATTCACATAGCGTTACTTAGTCATTCATCTCAAGGAAATCTGCCTTATGAATGAATATTTAATCAATTGGCGATTTCAAATGTTATTTACTTAGTGTTCCATTGAATGTGAATTTTTTGTAAAGCTATGTGTTTTCTTCTCCACAGATAGTACCAAGATGGGTAGCACCCAACGTCCTGACCTTCGCTGGGTTTCTCCTAACAGTCCTGGACTTCTTACTCCTGTCCTACTACGATTACAACTACTTAGCGGCGACTTCGATCAATGGAACTACCGTGAACGCGCCGACGAATGGACATAGTGAAGTTGTACCGCAGTCTCTGTGGAGTGTGTTGGCTGTCTTTCTTTTCCTTGCTTATACGTTGGGTGAGTTAATTTGGTTTCAAGTCCTTTAATTAGTAATAAATAAAATAGTCAAAATATTGGAGATAATAATCACAGAAAGTAAGAGCGGTTACATACGGCGACCTTCAGCAGCGATGCAAACGCGATCCAGTAGCGAATAGCGCCTGAACTAACCGATAAAAATTTGATTACTATAAAAAATACGTTATTTTGTTTTTCCTTTGAAAAAATATTTGTGTAACGGTTTTTGTAAAAACAAACACCGATATACAAATTCGTTTTCGCGCCGCCGAAACGCCGCCGCGACACTTTTTTGTCGGCGCGCCGTCGCCTGTTGGCTTATTATCGGCGCTCATGTCTAGTAGTAATGCATACGCTTATCGTCTACTTTTACACACGCGCGCGCGTGCGAGGTTTTAAGCAGCGATGAAGAGTGCACAGGGTCGTACTTTGCGTCTTTAGAGCTACTGACGCTTCCCTATCTGCTGATACTCCAGTTAGCCATGTATGCACGTAATCACTTGTATCAGTTCGCACAGAGATGCGATAATGAGCGGTACGCACTGCGGAACGAAAGCAGGCGGCTTTCGTCGCGGCGATCTTCACCGGCTGGAGAAGGCCATCGTGTATACAAACGACGTACGTGTCGTGTATACATACGAGCACGTCTTCCGCTTTAGGCTAAAAATGTGGCTAATCCAGTTAATTTATCGGCATTTTTTAATTTTAAATAATGTTATTTTTATTCGCTGTAGGTTACTATTTTTCTTAATTATCAGTTTATAACGAAATTCAATACATTTGTTTAGTTAACATTGTCATTGACATTGAAGGTAATAAATTGACATGTAATGAAAATTATGAATAAATGATTATGATTTGCATTTGATAATGCGTAGAAAACATTTTGCTATTGATAAAAAAAGTCAACCTGTATAAGTTGCATAGGCCCTTAGTGAGGAGATGAACCATTAGAGACAAGAGAGCTAATCTAATTCCCTTTTAGACGGTATCGACGGCAAGCAAGCCCGCCGTACGCAGACTTCGGGCCCCCTTGGCGAGCTGTTCGACCACGGGCTGGATTCGTACTCCGTGTTCTTCATCCCAGCATGTCTATATTCCATAGTCGGAAGACTGGATTTCTCCATATCGCCGTTACGGTGAGTGAATTCTTGAATCTTACAGGTAGTCCCGATCTATATTTGAAGTAGATGACAAATTTGTACAAATTATTTTAGGCTGGTTTCAGAGCAGTGCGGATTTATCTGCGGACAGTCCGCGTGGAAAATCGAAACGGAGTAACGAATGGTGGCGTTAGAATATCGTTTTACAGTGACGCGGAACTCTGCACCAGACACATGCGTTCATTGTAGGCGACTGTTTTCGGTGGATATCCGCACTAAATTAAAATAAATAAAATAAAAATAAAATAAAATGCATTTATTTCGGACTACAATAAGATTCATAAAAATTTTGGTATTACAGCAAAAACTTAAATAACTATGTTAGTACGTAAACTTAAATGAAGAGAGGACCAGTGCCTTAGCAGTCCACTGTCCCATCTGTGTGCAACAACTGTCAACAGTTTGCGGCAGCTGGCGCGTACCCTACGCAATGTCGCGTCGAAGCCGTCAACTCTCGCATCCGCGGACATCCCGGACACACTACAATGTCACGGCAGCCTCAACAGAACCCTGAACGCTTCGTTGTACTGTACACTCATTGCATTAAATACTCGATTCAAAGCATTGCGGATTCTACGCATGCGGATGGCCCTCAGGCGGACAGTCCGTACGGACCGCACGCACAGCTATGAAACCAGCCTAACTGACTCCGTGGCCGAAAAGACCGACATAAAGCGCGAGATACTGCTATTCTCGCATATTGATCTGACACGCAGAGGTCCCGGGTTCGATTCCCGGACTTGGAGAAATATTGGCATTACCTATACTTCTTTATCTCGTGAATTTGGATGTAATTAGTGGTTGACCATGTGTGTGTAAACTGCACGATTATCTGTCGTTACGACATAACGGATACGCGGCCTAAGGATGCTGGTGAAATGACAGGCACATGGGACATTTCGTATTCCAGAACTCTACTCAATGTAAAGTCAGGACTTGAGTATGATTTAAAACACTAGAACTTAACTGCCTCTGTGGCCTAACGGTTACCATGCCGGACTGCCACGCAGAGGTCCCAGGTTCGATTCCCGGGCCGGGAGAAATATTTGTATGACCTACATTTGTTTCTCTCGTGAGTTTGGGTGTAATTTGTGGTTGTCTATATGTGTGTCCATGGCACCCGCGACACAGGGTTTCCCTAGTGCGGGGCTATGTTGAGTGTGTGTGTTATTATTATTATTATTATTATATTATTATTAGGGTCGTATTTCCAGTGCTTGAAATCATACTTAAATCCTGACTTGAACATTGAGTAAAGTTCTGGAATACGAGTCTCAGAGTGGCACTGAACAGGCGCATCTCGTCCCTGGGTATCTTAAAAAAAGAAAAACTGTCAATAGTTATTATTATTATTTTTATTATCAATCGACGTGTGGTGTTGTGACCCCTTTCAAAATTATAAAATAATATTCCAATCTCTTTTTATAATTTATTCTAGTTGCATTTAAAGATTAAGAGGTCCATGAACATGTTGGAGAATTTAGAAGAAGTCGTTTCTTGTACTAACTAAATAAATAAATAAATAAAGCCACATTTCGTAGTTGTTTAGTTTATATCGTTTGTTGCAGAATGTATTACGTGTTGTGGAACATCCTTTTCAACTTCTACTTGAGCCATTGGGAGAAATACAACACTGGTGTACTCTTCTTGCCTTGGGGATATGATTTTAGCATGTGGGTAAGTGTCAAAAAAGACTTTGAAATATTTAGTAGCCGCGTTGAGGCCCACCCCAGTTCAGCGTTTACTCGCATAGATTTATTCCTACAGCACACCCTTCTGGCGGAAATCTCCAGTAGTGTCCTAAGTCGAGGTCCGTGCCCACTAGGGCGACCTCACACCCGCTACTTGAGCGTGAAACACACTGAAAGCGGGTGCGGGTCGGTTACTATCAGAAGCGATGGCGCCAAAACCCAAACATTACTAATTTAAAACACTACAAAATCTTGATATTGATTGGTCGTAGTTTCAAATTTAAAAAGAAATAACAAATTCTGGATTGTTAATATAATTTAAACTTTATCCTGTTGGCATATCGTTAAAAGTTCAATACTATCAATACCTGTTATTGCAAGTTACGACGTTGTGATATTATATTGAAATTTCAATCAATGTGCTGCCATCTAGCGGTTAATTGCTGAACGACGACGAATTGGATTTATGTAGTTTAGTTTTCCAAAAAAGAAGCGACCATATTGCAGGGGTATAAAGCTTTATTTTCGTTTCTTGTAACAAAAAAAAATATTTCGATAAGCAGAAAATTGAAAATTTATTAAAATATTGCAGTTTTTGGCATATAAATGAATATTATTTGTAATGTATATTATATTTATTTTATAATTCAATTTGTTAATACAGTAAACATATGTAATATAAGTACATTAAAAAAAAGAACAGTAAATTAATAATAATTGTCTTAACTTTCATACTCTCATCATGGCATGTGCACCTGTAATTGGTTAAGCATTTTAACTGTAACACCCTGTCGAATGTGTGTAAAATATTGTTGTAACCGAATGTATTAAGCGTTGGTGAATTTAAATAAATAAATAAATAAAATATGTCTTTCCAATGCTATGAAATACCACCACGGGTAATATTTTTAGCGCGGCTATCCTTTTTGCACTCCAAAACAGCGCAATAAGACATTTTTCTAGAATTTTAAAGAATTTGCACGAAAGAATGACACAACCATACCATACAAAGCGAAAATGGCGTCAAAAACAAACAGGTCTTCGATACCTATAGTTGTCACGCGTCTGACGCTACCTAACCACTTCTACTGTATTTATTGTTCTGTGGTCACCACATATGTAAGTATTGTCTATGAAAGGGTTAATAAGCAAATGAAAGAAGTAGAAGAATGTACATTTTTTTTGTTTGTTGTTTGTTGCTTTACCCTTGTATGTACTATGCGATTACTATTACTGTTTTTTAATTATTTTCTATTTTTATTGTCTCTAATACTCCGATTAAAGGACTTGCATCCAAGGTCATGATATAAATAAAGAAAAAGTCAATAACAATCATTGTAGGCACTATTTTAATTAATGAATTTAATCATGTTGTGATTGGTTCAATCAAGAAGTGTGATTGATTCCTTTCAAATCGACTTGATTCTTCTTCTGTAGGGCCAGCACGACAAGGCGTGACTTGCGCGAGGATAGTAGTATAGAGTAATAGAATATTGTCTCTATGCGAGAATAGCAGTATTTCGGCGTTTTACATCGCTCTCGCGCTAGTCGCGTCCTGTCGTAAGTGAAAAGCACAAGGTTCTATAACGGATATATTATGTTCGGCAGCGCATTTTCATCTTTACAGACGTCGACGTCCACATCTTCTTTCTGTGGTTCCATGAGCGCCATTTGTTCGGTGGAGCTTTTTCTCGCTTCAAATGTAGCAATGGACGTTCTGACCAATTTCTGACGTCCAATCCTTATGTCATATTATGGACGTCTACCATATTCCGCTCATGGCCGTGCTTGAAGAGACCAACAACAATGTGACAAATTTATGTTATTCATTTTTCCAGGCGTCCACGTTTTTCTTCCTATGGACAGGAATTAAAGGGACTGGGTACTATAAGCGCTATATGTTCGGCAGCTACACGCTCGCCAACGGATTCGAGTGGCTCATATACGCTACGGGCTTTCTTACTAATCTACCTGTAGCCATTTACAACACCCACAAGTAAGTGCTTTTTGGCATATTTGTTTTTATTTTATTTAGTTAGTCGACAATTGTTACTTTAGCCAGTCGACAATTGTTACATCGATTAAAAGTCAGAAACATACATGCGAAACCTTAAAACTAAGTGCACAATCTCTTATAGACCAACACGACATGCACAATAAATTATTGCTGATTACTAAAAAGAAATTACAAAAAGAAAAGTGTAAACGTTAAGAGACCATTATAAGTCACTTACAAAATCAAAAAGTGAAATATTAAAAAATAAGCAAAACAAAAAGAATAATTGAATTTGTAGTGAATTGATATTAAATTATTTTTTGTGAAACTACTTCACTAGTTTGTTGTAATTATTAATACCGGATTCGAACCGACATCTTCGGATTTGAAAGACGTCGGTTCGATTGGATCGATTTCTATGTGTTCGATTAATAATTATAACAAGCTAGTGAAGTAATTTCACAAAAAATAATTGAATATCAATTCAATACAAATTTAATTAAAAGTTAATAGCGACACCTCTAGCCGGGGCTGCTAGCTGTAAAGTTACCTAACTGGGCGACAAAATACTTTCATTGATTTGTAATAGATGGCGCTACGGCTAAAAAGTCGTCGAAAACCAAATACAAAGATCCGACATGCAAGCACATGGAAAAATTCGTGAAGTCCTCTGGTTCGTTGCGTGGCTTAGTTGGTATAGCGTCTGACACGGTTTGCTAGAAGACGTTGGTTCGAATCCGGTCGCATCGAAGGAATTTTTTCTAATTGTTCGATCTTTGTAATAATAATTCTAAAAAAAAAATAAGTTTACAGAGTTTTACCACCAGGCACTTACGACGACTTCTTCCTCCCGTCACTTACTATTTAAAAAAAAATCCGAATCCGGTCATTCGGTGTCCTTGACAAGCCTTGTGAGCATTCTATACAACAAAACATCAACAACGTGCAGTACAACGCCGTGTGAACGACACCTTAGGTATATAGATGTCTGGTAACCTATAGTTATGTAATATTGTTAAGGTCTGAACGTAATGTGTTGAAAGTACTTGTAATTTAATTGAATGAATGAAATGATTTGTATTGTTTAATTAACTTTGTTTTGTTTCTCAGATCTTACAAACTGCGTACAGGCAAAATGCGTTCAGCGACAGAAGCCATAAGGCCGCTATGGCCGCTTCTCACCGTGTTCGTCGTGCTCAACGTGTGGGTGCATAAATCTGACACTCTGGTTGAATATGACCCCAGAATGTTGTTTCTACTCATCGGCACTGTGTTTAGTAATGTTGCTGTAAGTGTAGCCTTTAATTACATATAGCACTACTCTATGCAATGCCCTTCGCCAACCAAAGCTGCAGTGACGGCCCAGTTGCTTTCACGTACATTAATAGCGAATCTGAATTCTATTTACTAGGCAACAACTTTTAAATTCCTCTGAATAATAGAATTATAGACCTTCCCTACCGACCCTTTGGGTATACGAGGAGGGCACTATAACCTGTGCGTGCACAGGAACCTACTAAGCACCGTTTCTGACCCTAGATCAGCCAGTGGACAGGGTTGTCACAGACCGTTGTCACGACTTCATCCGGTTCTCAAGAGGCTAGTGCCTCGGATGAGCTGCCCCGGGTGCACGTACAGTACTATCCCTATTTTCCAGATAGGTACCAGAGCTGTAGGCACGCTCACTTCCCGTTGTGCGTTGTACAACTAACGGCGCCCAGCATTGGGACTAGCGATGAAAGAGACTCAGTCTTTTAAGGCGTTTTATAACGACTCGACTCCATTTTACAGGACTCGACTCTAAAATTAAGACTGGAGGTTCGAGTTTTTATTAATAAGGCTCAGTCGTTATACTAAAAGACTTAAACGATCCGAATTGTTTGCAATGGACTCTACCTATTTTAGTTTTATTAAACCCGAATATTATAAATAAAAATGACGTAGTATGTAGCAAGTAATCACGTTTATTTACTTATAATTAAAATTAGGATTCAAAGAGTGATTTAAGCAATAGGTACGAGATTTTAAGACCTAATTATTTAATGATTGCATACAATACTTTTTCAGCGAGGAAATTGAAATAATGAAATGCAACCAATATTTAAAAGTCTATGGAAATCCAGTTCTAACGTGCTCTTTTTTTATTTTGTGTAACATTGTTCTGTAACCACTTTTCTTATTATGAAGTCCTGGTACTTTTTTTTAAACAATTTCTCTGTAATACATAGAACAAATATATACATAAAAATCTCGCCTGTCACCCATTCAGGGGTAGGCAGAGACTGTGGAACTCCACTTAATACGTTTATCAATAGCATGTTTCGTTCATAATTATGGTCAAACGACAGTATCAGACACTAAAATTTGATAAAATACTTTGACTTTAGTTTAGTTTAGTTTGGTTTTAGCCCTAACAAGTCTTTTAAGCTTCTTATGGTTAAAAGACTTCGACCCGAATTAGTCTTCAGTTTTAGTCTTGAGGGTTAAAAGACTAGACTACTCGTGAGGCGTTAAAAATCAGTCAAGGTTTTTTAAAAGGCCTTAAGGGACTGAGTCTCTTTCATCACTGATTGGGACATGATGAGTTGATGGTGATTGGTTCTCGTATTTTCTCAGTGCCGATTGATAGTGGCTCAGATGAGCAGTCAGCGCTGCGATGCGGTGAACTGGCTGCTGTGGCCCCTGCTGGCCGGGGCCCTGGGAGCGCTGGCTGCGCCGCGCTTTGAACCCGCCATCTTCTACGCCCTCACTGCGCTGACTGTCGCCGCGCACCTACACTACGGAACTTGCGTGGTGAGAAAAATATCAATTACTTTACGCTAAAATTCATAAATAAAATATTATTAGACTGTCAGTGGTTCAGTGGTTGACACTCGGCGCTAGATAAGGAGGTCTCGGGTTCAATTCCCGGTAAGACCATTTAGGAAGAGCTGAGATCTAATAACAGTAGAGCGTCTTGTCAAAGTGTTCATCCAGATAAGTCCTACCACGTTTCATGGATACTTTTAAAGGCAACTGCACAGTTAGTATTCAAATAATCAGACGGTCTAACAGTTATTCGAAAACCAGCCTGAACATTAAAACTTGAATACCAAATACCTTGTTTTAGGAACAAATTTTTTTTTGTACAACATATTTGGTACAAAAAACATATAATTTCTCGCCACACTACGAAAGCAGTGTAGACTTTAACTAATTTTACATGATTTGAAATAGTCCAGCTAGATTTGTAAATGCTGGTTATTGTTATAGAATGAATTTGTTTTTCCAGGTCCGCCAGATGTGTGATCATTTCCGAATAAGCTGTTTCTACATAAAACAACGCAGCGATTGACTCTTACAAGACAACGCGTTCTAGGTGACATAACATTATGAGACATAATTTATAATTATGACAAACATTATAACGTTTAACACGTGTTATAATTATGACAACATTATTGTACTTGCTAGACATATCTACAGGGCCGGACTATGTTATTTTTTTAGTGTAGTTATTGGGATGGATTAGTAGTTGGTTTAATTATTTTTACCTTACGAATAATAGTACATATTCTCCCTTACTTACGAAACTTTACTTAGATTATGGAACATTTATATTTTATTTAATTGTTTATTGCACAGGAAAACTCAAATCACATTTAGTAAAACGGAAAACGCGAACATAAACAAAGACGTATACGCAAGTACGCTTGGTGCGTATTACATTCAAGACAAAAAAGGGCTGCGATGTTGAAGTTGTGTTGTACGTTAATAAGCTGCTACTGCTGTGAAAGAGTTGTTCCAGGGAAGTACAGCCACCTCACTTATTTCTACCGCCTATTAGTAATGTAAATATTATTGCGTTCCGGTTTTGATGGGCATGTGCTGGTGAAATTACAGGCATATGTGATTTGTCAAGTTATCGACTGTGAACTGACAACCGGCACTATCTCAATTAATAAAGTTTTGACAACTTTACAGGATGAAGAAAAAATTGTTTGCATAATTTATACAGCGTCTGGTTCATTAAATAAAAATACGTATTGTATATACATACATGTGTAATAAAAATATGTAAAAGCTACGTATTTTTATATAATAAACCAGATGCTATATAAATGATGCAAACAATTTTTTCTTCATCCTGTAAAGTTGTCAAAACTGAGATAGACGGGCGCAGTGGCAGTGCCTTTGCTATTTGAAGCTCTGAGTGGCAATTGCTTATCACCACATATGACTTGTTCTTCCCGTCACACACATATATATATATATATAACAACAATCCTTAGTCCGGCCCTGCATATTCCTATTAAGTAGATCAATAGTCCATAAGCGTTGCATGAAATAGAAATAGTTGTTAAAGAAGTTACATTTTTAACCTAAATAGTTAAATTACTAGGTTGACGGTTAGAAGACTGTCTTTTTTAGAAAGTTTAACATCTCTCAAGGAAACAGCACGGCCAATTGCACGCACGGATTTTATGGAGCGTCCAATCACGAACATTTCTTGTTCGCAAATGCATTCCATGTTCGCTCCTCGCAATCTGTCGCCGAATGGTGATTGGTTGATTTACGTTCTTTTCATTTACAGCGGTAAATTAACAACTAAAGACAAATATAGCGAAAACTACGCGGCTGTATCGCATTTGCGTATTTTTGTACGAGCTGTTCTCAACTCACCTTTTCAATCGACTTTAATTTCTACGTATTTACGTTAAGAGTCAATACAATCTCAAATACCTTTGGTTAATACCGCATAACAGTGAGTGTTGAATCAATAACTTTATAAAAAATATATAATTATAATTGAGGATATACACTGAATACTATTAGTATACAGTGTGAAAACACGATTCCTAAAAATTGGCAGTGGATAAAACACAAACTCACCTCTAAATTTTACAAGAAAACCGTTATATTCAATAGGTGCTTTACATATGATGCATCCTCAGGGGTTGTTGACTGTAGTTGCGCTTGTGTTTATTTTATTAATTTTATGCGGAGGGAGGTTGGGGAAAGTAACTGCATGAAAAAAATACTCAACACAAACGCAGCTATTTTGCACGATTTAACCTTCACTGTGTTCGCGGGGTAGCAAATTATATAATACTTCCATTTTTATTATCATGGACTTCCGCAAAGTAACGCCTGAATCTATTAATTACAAGTATGCATAATTGAAAAGTACATAAATGTTGTGGTTGTGTGTTATGTTACGTCACAGTTTAAAAGATTGTGTGCTCAAATATTTTTTATCGAATTTTTTTTCATGATCAAAATATTGTTTTTTAATCACGATTTTTATGCAATACTGCCCCCGTAGCATGGCTACGCATGATAGTCGCAACGCGCGCGATAAAATTGAGATAAGCGCGCGCTATTGGCTATCTAAATTAGATCTGGACCCCGATTCAGAATTCTTCGATATTTTAATCGAATCGTTCGACTGGACATCGTTCTCGAATTTAAAGGCGCTTTCCGAGCCATTCAAATATTCCGAGTTAAACGTACGATACGGATTCGGATACGATATCGTCATCCAACAGCGTTTACGGGGTTAGTCGGTGAAATACATAAGAAAAATTGAAATTCTTTTATATATATTTTTAAGACTTTAGACCTAAAATATAGGAATGCATTAGTTTTGCATTAAAATAATTTAATAAAATTGAACAAAATCCAGACTTTATTTAAAATAATAAGAGAGTTCCATATTACATTCTTGCTTTGTAAACAATAGGACGTTCGGTAACTTTCATTCGATAACAGTGTTCTGTAAAACTTTTGTAGCCCAAGGGCTATCATCAGCAAGCTGATCGGGAAGTTCGAGTAATCGTACTGGTGTGACGTCACTTCGGTTCGGTTTCGAATACGACAGTTCGATTCCGGTGTTGAGAATAAAAACGAAAAGAAATTGTACAATATCAAATCGAATCGGTGGACAACTGAGTTATCGTAAGGTTCTGAATCGACCCCCCGATTGAGACGGCCAATAGCGCGCGCTTATTTCAATTTTATCGCGCGCGTCGCGGCTATCATGCGTAGCCATGCTACGGGGGCTGGTGTACGGTTTTGAGAAATCATTCAGGGACCCAAAGTCTGCTATTTTAAAAGCATATCAGTTGAGTGTCAATGGCAGGATTTTGTACGTTTAGTATTCTGCTAGCCATCGAGCTACTATTCAACTGCCATTGCAATTTTTTGGTACTTTGCTCTTCAATGGCGAGTCGATAGGGTAGTCTACTAATTATATGACTTAAAATTTACATTTAATTCGAAAATTAAATGCAATAGTAATTTCCATGATAGTTTTAAGCCGGGGTCGCACTTAGTGATGAAAGAGACTCAGTCTTTTAAGGCGTTTTATAACGACTCGGCTCCATTTTACAGGACTCGACTCTCTCGACTCTAAAATTAAGACTGGGGGTTCGAGTTTTATTAATAAGACTCAGTCGTTATACTAAAAGACTCAAAACACTTAAACGACTTGAAAGACTTAAACGACTCGAGTTGTTTGCAAAGGACTTATACCTATTTTATGTCTTATTAAACCCGAAGTTTATAAATAAAACTGACATAAGTAGTATGTAGTAAATAATCACGTTTATTTACTTATAATAAAAATAGTAAAATAAATAGCTTGTGGGTAGAAATAAAATCACGCCATACGGCTCATGACTCGCGACTCCCGAGGCTATGAGGCGCCAGTCGTTTTAGTCTTTTTAGTCGTTTTAGTCCTATAAGTCTTTTAAGCTTCCTAGGGTTAAAAGAGATCTCGAATTAGTCTTCAGTTTTAGTCTTATGACCCAAGACTTGAGGGTTAAAAGACGAGACTAGTCGTGAGGCGTTGAAAATTAGTCGAGGTTTTTAAAACGCCTTAAAGGACTGAGTCTCTTTCATCACTAGTCGCACTGGTACGGCGACAGCGACGCGGCGACGACGCGAAAAGATAAGTGGCCGCATTGCAAAAGCGAGAAGCCAGCGAAATGCCGCTATATCGCTTAATGCCGCTATGTCGCTTAACAAAATCAAACTATTTAGGTTACGTCGTGCGGTGTCTCCTTCGCAACTCTTCGCTCGATATATCGTGTGGTACCGCTGCTTGTCGTACGAAATTCAATTGTCGTCGCGAGTCGCTGAATAATTTTATTTAATGCGGACACCCTCATTACTTGTCGAACATTTGAAATTTTTTTACGATATGAACAAATAAATTTCGCTTCTCGTTTCTGCAGAGCGGCTACCGACATATGAGTTTGTTTTCACGAAATCGACGTCGCATCGCAGTCGCCTTAGTAGTGCGGCCGCGGCCTTAGTAAGGCAACACTGATCGTTAGTGATTGAATGAATGAATGCCATCACTGCCATTCCACTGACACTGACTGATACTCGAGAAAAATAAAATAAATATTGTCATAATTGCAATACGATCTCATCGAGTCTTAATGGAATTACAACGATGAGTGGTTGCAAGAAAATTTGTAGAATTGGGGTTTGGATCTGCACATAGTGGCCAAGTTCGTCTTAATACCTCCAGTATTTTAGCAAGTTTTAGTTTATGTTATCGAGTGTATAACCAGAAATAGTCATTTAATTTGTTTGAAAACTATTATGCCAAATCATTTCGGTGACAACTGCGCTTCGATTGGCCAGCCCGAATTCGAAACAATTGACGGATGTCGTCAATTGTTTCACTTCAAATCGACCAGTTTAACTTGAGCGTTGCTATAATGGACGAAAATTGAAAAATTACATATTTAATTACCAATGAAATGTGATTCAGTTTGTTTTGTAATTAGATGTTTTGCTGTTTTCCCACACCATCGAATGGAACAGCCCCCCAGTGTTAGAGATATTATCTTTATTACAATAAATACAGAATATTTTTGGAGTGTACGGAGATGTACGCACAGGTCAGTTGTTGGCACTGTACTATTTCAGCTTTCTAATTTGTGATTTCAGCGCAAACGAGAGTTGATATTTAAAAGTGATATAAGGCCTATTTGCCTGATGAGTTGCCAGGGATGAATGGCCCTTATTTCGTCTCTTTTTCTGGTTATATACTCGATGGTTTTAGTTTATTGAAATGGTTTTTTCTTGGCATTGTATTTTAATACTTTTGCCAAACGACAATTATCCAAAGAGAACTTGGCCCGTTTTTATATTTACGTTGTTAGTAAGATAGAGAACACAATTGGCTGAATATTTTCTTTTTTCCGTTAAAATTTGTTCAGAAACTCCAGTTTTTGAACGACACGTCTTTGTTGTCAAGATATTATAGTACGCGTTGTCTTTGTTTTGTATATTTAAGTTCTTTTGTTACCAATCGATTTTGGTATCTATTTAAAAAAGTTAAGATTTATTTTAGTGTTGTTTTTATGTTTAAGTTTCAAGTTTAAGTAATGACACTTCCAGTACCACTATCGCGAGATTAAAATTAAAACGTGAAAGTTTGTGAAATAATGTTCTGGTCATTTATATTAATTAAAGAATATGATTTCCCTAAAAGTATTGGTTATCAGCAAGTTGGAACCACAAGGGAAAAAACTTCTAACAATAGTACGTTAAAAAAAACACTGTGTATAGTTTATTATTAAAATATTTATAGAACGGTACGCTGATTTTCAAGGATAGAGGCCGAAATAAAAAAAATATTTTTTTTATTTATTATCAATGGTTGGAATAGGTTGTTCCAAATAAATAGATAAATGTCTACATATCGATGTCTCGATGACATGGAGTTGTTAAAACCACCAAATATTTAATTCATTGTTTATATTAATAAATAAAAATTCATTGTTTATATTAGTAAAAAAACAATATCTCAAGTTACTTCCAGCGTGTACAAAGTATTGTAGATGGTTTGACAACGCCGCGCGCCATTTTTGCATTTTGCACAGGCAAATCTATGCTTTAAGCCCGCGTGGTGTATTTTCGTTCGACCAGTGTCACCAATACAGGCGCAGAGGTGGTACCCGAGAATGAAGTTGGGGCGGTAGTTTGTTGGACCACCACGCAGAGGTTCCGGGTTAAATTCCCGGGCCGCGAGAAATATTTATATGACCTACATTTATTTCTCTCGCGAGTTTGGGTGTAACTTGTGATTGTCTATTTGTGTGTACATGGCACCAGCGGTACAGGGTTTCCCTAGTGGGTGCATGTTTAAAAAATATTAAAAAGTGTTCGAAATTCAAATAGACAAGATGGCCGCCATACAAATGCTAGTTCTCTATATAGGCGGTCAGTAAAAAGTTACTAAGGTGTAAGTTATTTGCTAGATAGGCCGCTATCCTAGAAAGTCATCGTGTATTAACAAATGAATAGTAAAATTTTCATCGCCTAAGTATTTATACGTTTAGAAACGAACTGATGAGAATGAAATTTTTTTAAAGAAGAGTTCTATTATTTAGCTTGTCTTCGTGCATGTATTGTAAAGTTTATTTATTTGTTTTAAGTGTACTGAGTGAGTATTTAGTGTTTAGGCTAAATTTATTGAGCATTATTTAAAAAAAAAACTTGTCTTTATTACGTGATAAAATCATTATTGAATCGCCTCTGAATCGCACAATTATCAGATATTGGTTAAAACCCAATCGAAACACTTCTTTCTGGCCAAAATCGTGAGTATGGAATTTGGTATAATTCCATACTTTTTAAAATTCGATACAACGACGACATTATTATCCTTATATCGACAGCGGAAATTTGAACTGTCCTAAGATACATTTTGTCGTAATGTCTTTCTCCATTCCTTTACGACAAAATGTTCGTTACTGTATTTCTAATTTCCACCATATGTGTTACGCCTAATGTTAAGACAGTTTAGGAAAGGGATGATATAATAAAGTTACACCTGTGGTTATTTTGTGCTAATTATTAAGACAAAAATCGACAACTTAGAAAAAAATTCCGTCTCCGGCTGGATTCGAACCGTTATCCAGCAAACCGTGCCAGACACTATGTCAACTAAGCCACGGAACGAACTAGCGTGGCTTACGAACTTTTTGTGTTTTTTGCAATTATTTGTTTTTGGTAAAATTTTTTTATAGTGATCGATCTTTGTCTTGTTAATTATAACAAACTTGTGACTTTCAATAAATTACATAAATATTTTGTGCTGTTCATTATGCGTGTTGTATATACAAGTTATAAAATAATGCTCGATTTGGCCAGAATTAGGGAGTCACGAAACTCATTAAGGCGGAATCGTCTTGATGCAATCGTCTTTAAACACACTTGTCGCATTAGCCGATTCGCCGTTGACGCGGCCGTTCGCGCACCGTCGTTGCGTCAGTTGTTTCTAAGCCAGGATCAGCTGTCGTCAGCATGCGTGTATAACATGACAGTATACACTATATTTAGAACTATGTTTATGAAAAATACAAATGGCAGATTTATTTTAAAGTTTCTCATTTTAATTCAATATAGACATACAAATCCGCCTAATAAAAATTGATCTAGATACTAGTAGGCCGACTGTCAAAATTAGAATAAAGAATGCAATAACGCAATTGCGTTACTAATTAGTAATCGTTAGAACGTAATATTATAAAATTTTATTTTCTTTCACAATTTATCGATAAAACTATCGACTACAACTACATAACTATGTAAATTTTATTTGCAACCCTACAAATATCATTTTACTCTGTCTCCAAAAAATCCAGACTATACGTTCATGGATATAAATGCGATTCTGCGTTAATAAGTGTGGTGACTCCCTAAAAAAAGGCCTTTGTATTATTGTGTGTATTAGAAAAAAATACGTGTACTCATATTTTAATAAACGGAATATCGAATGTGAACTGGAAACCGGTACTATATCAATTTTGACAACTTTACAGGCGAAGAAAAAATTGTTTGCGTCATTTATAGTGTATGTGTAATAAAAATATTTAAAAACTACGTATTTTTATTTAATAAACCAGTTGCTATATTAATGACGCAAACAATTATTTTCTTCATCTGTAAAGTTGCCAAAATTGAGATAGTACCGGTAGCCAGTTCACAGTCGATATGTTATATTAAGTTCTATTCACTACCTCCGTTGTCTATTCTGCTCCCTTTGTCATAAACAACGCATTTGCTTTTTGGTAACTCTTGGAGATATTGGCGCTTATACTCCGTCCAACCATTTGTTTCACTTTTGACAGCTCGAATTATTTTTTTTTTATTAATAATTTTAGCTTGGATACAAGTCCTTTGAGCCATGTCTTCGTTTAATTATGTTTCTGTAAATATGGCCGCCACAAAGAGGATAGGCAATTTGAGGCGGCGTGCTTGGATTGACTCGGGATTCCTTAGAACGGGCCGATACGGGTATTTTAGTTCGAGATTCATATAATTTCGCTTTTTAATCTTCGATTAAGGCACAATAGCACTATCCCTTTAAACTAGACTTTAAACTAGATTTCACAAAATAATTGAAAGTCAAAATAAAAACGACACTTTTCCCTCCAAAAGGCCCAGAGCGAATCACAGCTCGAATTCTAATCAATTAGTGATGCCACATGCGTTGCAGATTCGATTTTTTATAACAACCGATTTTATTTATGAAGAAGTTTTAATCGTGAATGTGAGCGGGTTCCAAAAAGAAGATAATGTCTGATAGGAATCGTGATGTCGCGTTTAACAAGTGATGATTCACATTCATATGGAGAAGAATCCGACAATTCTTTATAATAAACAATAAGAATTTATTGTAATTTATTTAATTTCATTATAATTTATCAGACAGGTGCCAAAATTTATAAACTTGAATAATGTTCATTACATAATCTGTTGGCTCGATAAATATCGGAGCTAGAGCACTTCGCTTCACTAAAATTAAAAAATAAAAGAGTCCAGGAAGTATTGCATGTCTGTTGTATGTCAATAATTACGAAACTTTGGAGGCATGCGTATGTCAAAAGTTAAATAAAAGGTTGGACGGAGTATAAAGTTTTTTCATTGATAAATGTTCGTTACGCTGATTTTGCTTAACAATAAAACTGAGAGTAAATATGATATAAATAAACCGCTTGTGGGGTGTTGCAGATCTCGTCTCTCCAATTCCAAATAATTAGTTAATAACTCGATTTCGCTAAAAATGTCGATTACATTGTTTACGATAAAGACTGCAGAATTACACACGTTTTTTTGTCTATTTATTTAGGATAATATTTCTTTAACACACAATCGGTATTAATTTTTCCGAATAGTATTATTTGCTTTTTTCCCCCATGTAATTTTGTCTAATTTTATTTTCATGTAAAGCATTTCATAATTGGACTTTTTTTGGTATGATGTATTTATTTGCATTTTTTAATTGTTAACAGTTGTGTGTTTGTATACCGATTATTATCAGGTTCGAAATTATTTTCTTTGATAATTATCATGCTAATTATCAAATATAATATATATATATTTATAGCTTTGTCTTTTTAACTAAAAATTACAAACAGTGATAAAAGTAAATTAACACGAAGAAAAATCTTAGGGAAAACGATATGGTTTTGTGATTTTATTTTTTAGTTTGACATTTGACACGTTTGGATACGTCTCTGATACAAACACACGGCACGACGACGTTGCTAGCAGTAGTATTTTGTTACTCCAATTAATTTTATAAATAGCAAATATATCTATGTACTAGATAAATATCAAGGTTGTTGGCGCGATAATTATTATCAATGATAATTATTATCAATGATAATTATCATGATAATTATCATTTCGAACCCTGCCGATTATCACAAATTTGTACTTCTGGAATAATTAAATGTTGTGGCTATTCAGACAGCTGTACATTTTGTAATTGACTGATTTTATGTGGTTTGTCTACTTGGTGTTGCTGCCACCAACATGAAATCAGTGAATTAGAATATATTTAATTTTTAGATAAGGAAATTATGGTCTTACAATGTGTAATCTATTTTGTGAGGGTAAAAAACTTTGTCGTTGTTTATCAGACAGTATTGTTTGCAAAACATGGTACAGTCCGCGAGGCCTAAGCTGAGCTTTGCATTTGTGTGAGTGCACATAGATAGTGTAGGTGGGACGTCGGCCTAGAGAGCGACGCGTCCTTTTCTAGGTTTAAATCGGTTTAAACTGCTTTTTGTCAATTGGCCTGAGGCGCGGTGCATCCCTCGCGCGACGCAACTCCGCCGCGCACCTTTCACACTTCACCTCTTGTACTGGTAGCAGCGTGACGTGTTTAATTCTTAATATTTTCTTTTTGTATTCGATTTATTAGTGAAATGGCTGCCAACACAAATAAACGAATTATACGAAAACCTTTAAATAGCCAAGTAAAGGAAATTTTGTGTAATTTAAATAGTTATTTTAAAGACATGAACGACAAAGACATGTCAAGTGTCACTACATCAGCCCAATTGGTAGCGACATCGACGGGAATTCCGCTGTCCACTGTCAAAAGAGTTTTATTGGAAGGTAAACGTCTTTTGGAAGACGGAAGCAAATTTAAATCTCCGAAAAAGACCAGATGCAGGGAAAATATCATTATCATTGACGATTTTGATAAAGCGGTAATCCGAAGAACTATTCACAACTTTCACATTACTGATAAAGAGGTGCCAACTATGAAACGAATACATGAAAAGTTGAAGAGAGAAATAAACTATCCAGGTTCAATTTGGTCATTGCGTAAAGAAGTGTCTCTTTTAGGATTTAAATGGAAAAGAACAGAAGATAATAGAAAAATTCTAATGGAAAAACATGAGATACGTTATCTACGTATACATTTTTTGATTAAAATTTCCGAATATCGTATTCAGGGCCGGCCAGTCGTTTATACCGACGAAACATACATAGACACGACTCACACTTCTTCAAAATCTTATTCAGATGGCAGCACTTCTGGTTTGAAGAAACCAATTTCTAAAGGAAATCGTTTAATAATAGTTCATGCCGGCGGAGAGGACGGTTTCATACCAAATGCACTGCTGATGTTCAAAGCAAATCAAAAAAGTGGTGATTACCATGATAATATGAATGCAGCAAACTACACGAAATGGTTACAAACGCAATTAATTCCAAATTTAAAGCCCAATAGCGTTGTGGTGGTAGACAATGCATCTTACCACAATTCGTTAGAAAATCCCGCTCCCAACTCAAATAGTCGTAAACAAGATATGATTGACTGGCTCAAGTATCGCAATATCGATCACTCTACATCGATGCTTAAACCACAACTCTATCAATTGATACTGCAAAACAAACAAAGATTTATTGAATATAAAATTGACACTTTACTTAGAGAACATGGTCACAGCGTCATTCGTCTACCACCCTACCACCCGGATTTCAACCCAATTGAAAATATATGGGCAATGATAAAAGGATACGTGGCTAAAAAAAACGTGTCAATGAATATGGATACAATTATGAGGTTAGCGAAAGAAAAAGTTGACACTATCACTGTACAAGAATGGAAAAATGTATGTGACCACGCAATAAAAGAAGAAAAAAAGTTTCATGGTCACGATGCCGTTCTTGACGATATAACGGAACGATTCATTATTAACACAAACGATACATCAGAGGAGAGTGAAAATGAAGACGAGAGTGATAAAGAAAATGATGAAAATGCAATGTCCGGTGCAGAAGAATTGTTATAATTTTTTTTTATATTTGAATTTTATTTATTGATCTCTGACTTCTCGGTCACACTTACATATGTACACATGCTCATCGGTCATACATATACATAGCTGGCCTTTATTTTAACAATTTATGCTATTTAGTTTTAATTTCCCACTTATGTTAAAAACCTACCTAATACTAAAATTTATTTTTAAAAGTTTTTTGTCTGACTCTACTTTTGGTGATCACTCACACAAATGCAAAGCTCAGCTTAGACCTCGCGAACTGTAACACACACAAAAAAAGAAATAATACCGTACGAAGTGCCTAATAAATAATGGAAATTTATTTTTGCAAAACTTTATTGAACATCTTAAAATTCTCACTTGTTATCTTTAAATCTAATATTTATTTATTCTAAATATTTACTGTGTTCAAAAAATCTAAGTGGGGCTATCGGGAAACATATATGTACAGTAGTGTAACAAGCAAAAGATAGCGGAAATAATGAATTTCAATACAAATATCCATAGACCAATTTTTTTTTAAATTTAGTTCATGACCTTACAGTTTTTTACGGTGCTGTAGCTCAATAAGAACGTATGCAAAAGTTTACGGGCTGTGAATGAATCTCGTTTGAACCGCGTTAACTCGCGTCATCCGCGCGTAAAAAATACGGCGTATGGATAGGCTCTTGTTTTCTTGTGATGTCGCACAAGAAAACAATCACGTCCAAGATTTACGATCGAATGCAGTTTATTTAATTCCTGTACTTAAATTCGTCGTAAATAGTACAGGAAAAAAATGTTTTATTATGTTTTTCCTGTTTTATGTTACCTTCTGTGTTTATTATTTATGTCGATTGAAAAACTTTAAAGGTCATGAAATCAATTTAAAAATCAATCTCAGTGTTTAATATCTTAATACTTTCAAATGAAAAAAAAAAAAATTGTCCATACCAAAAAAAAAATCTAAAAACTTCCCGCTAGCCAAACTATAAGGGTACAATTGGGACTTAATAAGTTTTGAACCGACTGCGAGAACTGAAAGTAACTGTACAACTGATCTGGTTCTTCCCATTTGCCTTCACTTATTGTTAGTTAGACTTAGATAGCTAGATAATCGCTTGAACACAACGATGTTGAAGTCCAAAATGTATCAGTGGATTCATACATATTTTTAAGATTAGGAAGAGTTTTCATTTTAGAGTAAACAACCAAAAACAAAAATAAATTGTGTAAAAAAAAAGTGGAATATTACATACATGATGTTGAAATGCCGTCGTAGATGGCATTTTTTTTTATTTCAAATAGTTGTACTATGGAGAAATCAGTATTCTACCTGATACCCCTGAAATTAGAGGTCCGAATAGGAGTAATACGCATAGTGTAAATCGTCTCCCCTCCTTTTGAAGCACGAAATTGTTTTATTGTTACTTTTCTACGGTAGTGTATTCAGAAGAAAAGTTTTGTTTTAATTTTAATACAAAAATCTAACACAAGAAATATTCTTTACATATGACAAGACTCGAAACAAGGCGTCTTTAAATATTGTAGATAGGATAGGGTTAATACTGCATTCAAAGATTTTTGAAAAGTTGCTTGTTTCATCCGGGCATCGTATCGACCAAATGTAAAAAAAAGCATACTGTATTTTTATGATTCCCAAATGACGCAACACAATTTTGTACAAAATATATTTTTTATTGAAATTTCACTTGATATGAAATTACAAGTAGCAATTTCTTATAAATACTATCGTTTCTATACAACACCTACTACGCGAAACATAGAATAAGCCTCTATAAGTAGTAGTGGACTTGTGAAGTACTTCTAAACCAATGAGAGTCGTGTTTGATAACTATAATCAAAGAAAATATGCGTGTATTCACTGTACAATGGCAAGACTTCACCGCTTCTAAAATCACAAGAAAAATAAAAAATATGAATAAATAACTCTTTTATTTACACTCATTTGTAGCACGCCACACTGTATATAAATTATATATTGATTGTGTCTTCTTAAAAACAGAGCTTCGATTGAAAAAAAGGCTTTGTAAACTTATCATTACTGCCTTGGCCCTTTACTGTATCATCTATGGTTTCCGATGTCCCCATACTGTCCCATAAAAAACGGCTATCGACTGTGAACTGGCAATCGGTACTATCTCAATTTTGACGACTTAACAGGTGATGATAAAACTTGTTTGCGTCATTTATGTGTAGCATCTGATTAATTAAGTAAAAATACGTAGTTTTTAAATATTTTTATTACACATGTTATTAAAACAATGGAATTTCTTGCAACGCCGCGGAGTATGAAATAGTATAAAATGATATTCAAAAGTGAAATCTTTAGAAAATTGAGATATTACGGTTGCCAGTTCACAGTCGATATTTCGTATCGTCGACGTCGGGTAAATTTGTAAAATTCGCAACCTTCATTAATGTGAAACTTTTGAGTAGGTAGGCATAAAAAATGGAAATACTAGACATATTTATATTTCAGGTTATGATTATACTTTCATTTTATAACTAAAAAACGGAAACTGAGATCTCTTTGCGAGAATAGCAGTATATCGCGCTTTATGTCGCTCTCGCGCTTGTCGCGCCCTATCGTGATAGCCCTACCGATTATATTCTAAGCTTAATTGCCCAATAAAACGCAGACGAACGTGCACATCCCTACGGCTATACATAAACCTCGGGAGTCCATACTCAAGTCCGGGCCCGCCAGAGACGCTTTTAACACGCTTGTGAAGGCGTATCACTTACCGCCGTACCCTGGTCTTATCGGGGAGATTAGTCTCACTCGGAACTCCCTGAAAAGGTTATAAACCCTAATGAGCCCTGACCAGGTTCACGGCAACAAATAGGATACTTCGGTCCGCAAAGAATTTATTCGTTATCAAATTGAAAGAGAAAAAGATTAACAAAAAAGGTATATATAAAAACAGGTAGAACGCTACAAAACACTACTTAAATACTAAACCGAGTTATACGGTATTACTGATTGAGAGAGGCGAGTCGAATAAGGGTCGTATTCTAGAACTCTACTCAATGCTCAAGTCAGGATTTAAGTATAGTTTAAAGCACTCGAAATCATACTCAAGTCCCCGCCATTAGGGTCGTATTTCCAATGCTTGTTTCCAGTGCAATCCTCAATTGAACATTGAGTAGAGTTCTGGAATACAACTCTAAGGGTCGTATTCCAGAACTGTACTCAATGCTCAAGTCAGGACTTGAGTATTGCAGTGAGCACTGAAAATCATACTCAAGTCCCTGCCATTCGGGTCGTATTTCCAGTGCAATTCTGACTTGAGCATTGAGTAGAGTTCTTAGGGTCCTAGTCCTTAGGGTCGTATTCTAGAACTCTACTCAATGCTCAAGTCACGATTTGAGTATGGTTTAAAGCACTTGATATCATACTCAAGTCCCTGCCATTAGGGTCGTATTTCCAGTGCTTGAAATCATACTCAGATCCTGATTTGAGCATTGAGTAGAGATCTAGAATACGACACTTACTTAGCATTACTATGTAATATCTATCTCGTCTAGACCGCTATTAAGACGCGCTAGCTGCGCGCGGGATGAACGCCCCGGCCGCATGCTACTTATCGGGTTATCGGGGCAGACGAACGTGTACATCCCTACAGCTATACATAAACCTCGGGAGCCCATACACAAGTCCGGGCCCGCCAGAGACGCCTTCAACACGCTCGTGAAGGCGTATGACTTACCGCCGTACCCTGGTCTTACCGGGGAGATTAGTCTCACCCGGAACTCCCTGAAAAGGTTATAAACCCTAATGAGCCGTGACCAGGTTCACGGCAACAAATATGATACTTCGGTCCGCAAAGAATTTATTCGTTATCAAATTGTAAGAGAAAAAGATTTAACAAAAAAGGTATATCGCTTATTTGGTGCTACATTGATGTAATTGTAATTTTGGCAAATTTGGATAAAGGATGTTAATATGTAATTAATTAAGTCTTAATTCAATTATGCCAAAATTGCAATTAAGTCAATGTTGCACTAAATGAGCGATATATAAAAACAGGTAGAACGCTACAAAACACTCCCTACTTAAATACTAAACCGAGTTATACGGTATTACTGATTGGGAGAGGCGAGTCTAAGGGTCGTATTCTAGAACTCTACTCAATGCTAAAGTCAGGATTTGAGTATGGTTTAAAGCACTTGATATCACACTCAAGTCCCTGCCATTAGAGTCGTATTTCCAGTGCTTGTGTTTCCAGTGCAATCCTGACTTGAGCAGACTTGAGTATGATTTCAAGTACTGGAGTATGATTTTCAGTGCTCATTGCAATACTCAAGTCCTGACTCATGAGTATTGAGTAGAGTTCTGGAATACGATCCTAGGAGTCGTATTCTAGAACTCTACTCAATGCTCAGGTCAGGACTTGAGTATGATTCAAAGCACTAGAAATCATACTCAAGTCCTTGCCATTAGAGTCGTATTTCCAGTGCTTGAAATCATACTCAAGTCTGCTCAAATCCTGACTTGAGCATTGAGTACAGTTCTGGAATACGACCCTAAAACAGATATCCAAAATAACAACAATACAATAATAGAAATATAATCACTTATTACAATATTTGTAATATCTATATTTACAGTTTTAAAAATTATACAATTCTTCTCACTATATTGCTATTACACTATGTTTGGTTCTTCACTGAATTCATGTAGTCTTCTTTTATTTTAGCTCTGTCCTCTATATTAGGTAAATATGGTTGTATACCTCGTGCTCTTCTGTCGCTGTATATTTTGCCCTGTAATTAATTAATATTAATATAATAAATATTAGACTACATCACAATGTTGCTCTGATACCAAAGTAACTAAAGCACTTGTGTTATAGAAATCGGAAATAACGTCGGTACCACAACACCCAGATCCGAGACAATAGAAGCTTCTACATTGACTCGTACGGGAATCAAACCCGGGACCTCAGAGATGCAAGCCACTCGACCAGAGGTTGTCGAAATATGTAATTAATTCATAAATTTATGAATTAGATGCGAGAGCCCTCATGAGGGAAACCCTACCTAGCAGAGGTATGCTCAAGGGCTAATGTAGTAGATGTATGGGAAAATAAAATAAAAAGATGTTTATCTGCATTAACATAATAATTTAGAATTAAATAACATTGTCTTTGTAAACTTAAAACGCCGGCCGTACTTTGCACATCAGAGTTGTGCAAGGTAATGTCGGCGGGCGAACTCCAGCTCGCGAAGGGCTTTAATCCAGCCCGCCAACTAAACTAAGAGTCGTCGTCGATATCGACACACAAAATAACCTATACACAAAATAAGGTAACACTACTACAAAATAATACAATTTAATTCGTTTGTGGTGTGAATGCCGACAGAAAACCTGTCGACCTTGATGAAGGAAGAGATTTGGCCGAAGGGTTTTGCATATCGGCGATTGTGCGGCCGGTTGCCTGACACGAATGCGCTACACATTGCCGACAACCACAATTCGTGTTATGTTAGACCTTAAAATATACAGGGTGTAATCATTATGTATGCCCAGGCGATTAATCTATTAATATGAGATCTCAAAAAGCTTTCAACTGATATATAACGTACTTTCGACGTTACCTAATGAGAAAATCGATATCAATAACTTTTTTAAATAAAACTAGAAGTCTCCAAAATATTACCATTAAACGCTCCCATACATTTAATATGACATTCGTAGAGAGGCTTTAGTTTTTCTACTGGAAGAGGTAACAAAACGTTAACAGATGACAAAACTGACATAAATAAAGTATGAAAACTATCTTTTAATTGAATGAAAATGTAATGGCATAGTCAAGTGACAGTTGTCCATAAAAATTTTTAATGTTAAAATTTTGAATATTTCTAGTTTCATTTTTAAAAAGTTGTTGATGTTGATTTACTCATTAGGTAACGTACTTTCGATATCAGTCAGTCAGAATAATCGCCTGGGCACACTTAACGATTACACCCTGTATATTATATTGACAATAGTTGCCTGACAATGAATAAATAAAATAAATAATAAAACATATTTCAAAAGGAAATGTATTTTTCTTTAATTCTGGCCTGCTGTGAAATTTCCTGTTTTTCTGGACTCTAATGGACCCACCCCTGTCTATATCACTTAACAATGTGGATAAAATAGTAAGTTTTAGTTTAAGTTGCTAATGAAATGTGCTACATTTTATAGCAGATGTTATAAGAAAGAAGTGTATCAACTCGCTCCAATAAAACTATCACAAAGCAGTACATATGATAAATAGAGCTATATAAAAATTACAATTTATTTATTTATGGTTGGAAAACCAACAACTTCAAAACAATACAAAAGGAGCATAAAAACATACAACCAATTTATAAGTTACATAATCATTTGAAGTTTTAATTGTTTTAATTGAACAGTCTCATATCTTACTGTAACATAATAACTTGTAAAGTCTTACTACTAAGTTTTGTTTATAGTGTCTTTCTCTCTCAACCTCCTGTGCAAGTAAGCCTGTACAGGAACTTATCAATCAGGTCCTGACCCTAGATCAGCCCGTTGACACAGGAATCATCAGTGCCTTGAGTGAGCGACCCTGAGTGCACATACATCACACAGCACCCTCCCTATTGTACAGGTAGGTGCTGGGGCTGTTGGTTAGTTCACCTCCTATTGTGTATTCCACAACTAGTGGTTGCCATCACTAAGCCGTTCAATCTAAATTCAAATAACAAAAAACAACGGCAAAATCATAGTTAAAAAAAATCGTTAGTGTCTTCAAATGTCTTAATTACAAGTTTTAATAAAATATATTCATTCGCTTTTTCAAATTATAATAGCGGCATGTGTCGATCATTATAAAAGTGGTGTAAGTCCATATTTTAAAACACACATTGTTTTGCTTAAAAGTATCACATTTATTTCATTATAACAGTGAAGCAACTCCAATAATTGTACTAACATCCCATAGATGGCATTACTAGTGATGGAGATGCGAGTTGCAGTGTCTAGCAATGCCCAGATATGGCTTTGATAGGGGTGAACAGTAAACAAAATTCTAAAGAAATCTGATGCAGGACCAAACTGAAAAAATTAGATGGACCTATGAATTAAACCCAATTACTGTTCAGTTGATAGCTGGCAAATTGTTTGATCTCAATATGAAGATACTTTACAAGAAAGGTATGCAAAGTTTCTCGATAACTCCTGATGAAGTCGCAAGGGCCTTACCTAGCCAGCTCATCATACACTAGGGGGTCTACTCTCGATCTCCGTCCGAAACAATTACTGCCAAATAAGCAATACTTGACCAAATGAAGACGCGTGATGCGAATATTTATTATTGCTCGGGTCGGTAGTTTGGGAACCCTTGCTTTACAACAATGTATATAAATACACATACCCAGAACTTTTTACACGTATTGTAGTTATCAAAATATTTTTGACATTTTTCCTGATCGAAGGCGTTCTTGTCGAGGCATTGATAAGACATTTGTTGTTCCTGAAATCGAGATTAAAATTACATAATTTAATTTACAGGTCATTTTCACTGGGCAATCATTGAAATCAAAGATGAATATTGGACCTTTAAACAGGGATTTAGCCGTTCTGCATCTTTATTAACGAGTTTAGGCATTGCTAAGGTTTACGTTATAACCAAGTTTTATCTGTCTAATTTATGTTGCTTAATGTTGTGATGGTTCGGTCTAGTGTTGCCAGACTTGGAAGTTAATTCGCCAATTTATGTGTGTTAAGTAGCCGATATTCGCTCAAGCCATAAAATCCCTAAAAATGAAGGAAAACAATAATTCTGCTCGTTGCCGGAAATTGGGGAATATGAACTTTCTTATTTCCCCAATTACCCACACGTAGAAATACTCAAACCCCCAAATGAGTTGTTTTACGACTCCATTCCCCACAAAATCCCCAATCGGGTTTGTAATTCCTCAGACATTTTATTAAGTAGCCTAAAATCGCCTTTTCCTATTTCAAACAAAGGCTTAATATCGTCGAATCGTCTATCACTTTTTTGGTCGCCGCACGACGCCTCGAAGTAGCATAAATGGCGAAAAATCGCCTAATCTGGCACCACTGGTTCGGTCTGTGCTTGTCACGTGGTGGTTGTAATACGTCCATGAGTGGAGGGATAATGAAAAAAAGACCAGTGTTGCCGTTGTATATAATTAAAAGTTCCTAGATGGTCAGAGATTTTCCGCAAGATTTGGGTAAAAATAATTTCCTAAAATCCGCTAGATGTCTCTAGACTTGGCGGTACTTCCATGCGCTTATTTGAAAATCGAATTTGATTCACAAACAGTAAATAAAATTGCAAATAATCCCGACAATATGAACCAAAAAGTATTTATTTTTAATTAATTAATTTAGTTTTGAACATAACAAACAAAAATAATTATATTCAACTCATCATTCTGTGAGTGAAAAAAATTCAATCAATAGGTCTTCCCCATTCCTAATCGTAACGAGGGAGAAAGGCTTAGACTATGGAAACTAAAGGACATGTTACGTTGACATATATAAATCAGACGTTATATGTATATGATGCATTTCGACGTCGAAAACATAAACATATTATTGTCTTTGTTTAACTATTACGTGCCGTCTTAAGCCAAAAGAGATAGCATTACATTGGTCTGTGTCAAACACGGGAATCGAAAATTCGTAACGTCATTTTAAATGCCAACCGTGGCCATTTCAAATACATGAGGTACATGATACCGTTGTCAAAGGGAAGTACATCAAATGTCAAAACAAATGTTTTTCCAAATGTATTATTGAATTATTCACATGTATTATAATTAAATTGGACAAAAATATTGACAGTGAGAATAATTAGGTATTAATAAAAATGCGACGCTGCAGCATTAAAGGATGCGGCTTTAGAAAAACTGCAAATCAATCGAATGTTACATTGCACAGGCATGTGTTATTTTTTTGTCTATAAATCACACAATAGCCCGAATATTTTATGTAATTAGACTTATTTAAGTAGTTTATTTATAAATCTTGCCAAATTTTGCTTTTGTTACTTTAGATTGCCTGTTTGTTTGTATATTTTGATGATTGTTGTTAACGATTATTTTGAGATAGTGTTGATCTTGTAAGCATACATATTATCGATATTCTGTTATTAAAACAATTCACTATGAGGTTTTTATTGTTTTATTATTATTATTTCAAGTTTTCCTACAAATGAAAAAAGGAAGAAAGAATGGTTGGAAATCATAGGACTGCCGAATATAAACGTTGGATCAAAGACCATCTTCATTTGTTCGCTTCATTTTGAAGAGTCAAATTTTAACAGAACTTTAAATGTAACTAGATCATAATGATAATCCAAACGCTGTCCAATTTAAGGCTGCATTTAAAAGATTAGTAATTCGGGCGGAAATAAGAGATGAAGGTGTAGGCAACTGCATTCCACTTGAACAAATAAATATATTAACTTGTTCGTCTAAAATACACCCCGTAACGTCTATAAATGATTTAACAGAAAAAAAATCTTTTGTGGAAGTGCCAGAAGATGATAGCGACTTATACGAAGATTTCATAGATTGCTTAGATAATAATAATTTAAGCAATTATATTCAATGTGTAGTCACATATATTGCTGGCTTTGTTGTAAAAAAACTGTGTAGGTCTCTAAAATGTGACAATTGTTTAGACATGTTGTTTTGCAGTGATAGGGGTTTTGCACCTAGTTTAATAATGCAAAAAACTAGGGGTGGCCTGACTTATCCATCCAATGATGTTGTGGTAGTACTAAAAAAAGTTGAAACGTGTTTAAAATTCATTTTATTTTCAAAAGAAAAACCGGAGAATTATTATTTATATATTTTCAAATTTTACATGGAATATTTCGAAGAGTCTGGTAAATTATTTAATTCAGGAAATACAAATCACGACACAAATCATAAATATTTGTTAATTAAAAGCGTGATGCAAATATATATGGACTTGAGATTCAATTCAAATATTTTGGAAAACAAAAATTGAAAATTTGTCACTTCGAAATTATTTAAATAAAATTATTTTATTCCGTCATGAATAATTTTAGTAATTTTTACCCGACTGCATGAGAAGGTGAGCTATGTTTTTTGAGTGTATGTTTGTTAATTTCTTTTTCACGCTGTACAGCCTAAATGGCATGATGGATTTTGAGATATGAGGTGTCGTTTGATTCGTCTTGATTGGTGGGGCTGTCATAGGTTTATCTCTTTTCAGTTATTTTTTTGCAGTCGGGTTTTTATTTTTTAAAATAATTTGGTTTTTGTAAATCTATATACATATTTAAAGGAGTACGGTCCAGAGCAATTCACTGGTAGATGGACGCATAGCAAAAACTGTAAGTACTGGAACATGATAACTTGAGGGTATGTTAATTTTATTTAGTGAAGGAGTACTAAGAACGGATTTTTCAAATTCTTCCCCTAAGAGGGCGAAAACGGTTAAAAACGTTTGCATGAAAAATAATATTCCTTGAAATTACAAAGACGAAACTTTGCATAAATATTTTACAATAAAAATGGTAAAAAAATGGCATGACAGTTTTTAAAAAATGCGGCGAAATGGGGTAATAAAGTTTGTATGGTAACTTTTTAACACGTGGTGTGATTTGGTTCATACTTGAATATTTTTCATTTGTATAAAAATTGTACGCGGACGAAGTCGTGGGGAAAAGCTAGTACATGATAATTGTTGATTTCCGATAATTGATTTTTACAACTACTTCCATTATTTCTGTGTTAAAATTGCTTGATAGATTCATTTGCTTAAGAAAGCCCGGGAATTAACGGGAATACTAGAATCCGCAGAAACCTGAATAGACTTGTACTTGACGGTTAGTTAAAAGACGTTATGTAAATATGTACTAAAATGTAGGTTAAAGGCGTACCTCTTAAAGTAATTTTTATATTTTATTTAGTAAGTACAATTAATACTACGTAATGTTAAATACAAGTAAAGTAGGTATAATTAAGCAAGAATGCGCATGTCGCCAACAAACTGCACAGCAGTTTGGTGACTTTTACTAAATAAGTTACCAGTTGTAATGTTGAAAATAATTTTTTTTTTAAGTTTAAAAATGTGTGTTGACATTTATAATAATATACCACTCGAGATTAAATTATCAGATTTGTGTTTGTTTAGGCATACTTTGGTTACAGTAAACTAAAGAAACAAAAATTCAAGCCATACATTTGCATGTCGATAATGACTTATCGATAGATTATGGTACAACACTAAAGAAATCCACCATTTGTAACTTTCAAATTTTGGTAATATGCACGTTGATTCTGTACTTAGGGCAGCTCCTTTCTTTTATTTTTTTCCATCCTCTAAGGAGAAAGGCATCAAACGAACGAATGGATGTTGTTTTGTTTATTACAGAAAATTACCGTTCAGTCCGATTCTACGTTAATGTTACCAGCATTAGACTAGAAAATTGGCCGAATATTACTAATTTACCGTATTTGATTGATAGGTTATAATTTTTGTTTCTGAAAAGAGCCTCGCGGCCAAATTACATTCTTTCCGTAAAAAGGTTTAACACATATTTTATAAATATATAAGCGAATATGTATTGCTCATCATCGGTGGGTCATTATATCAGATTAAAGTTAAGTAATTCAGGGTATACAATTCCAATTCCGAGTTAAGTTCCAATTAGAGGTCATACGTGAGCCATACGCAGGATAGTGCGTGAGCAGTCTCCTCCCGCGGAGCGGACTGCCATGCTGGTAGTAAATGGGCCGTTTAATGTGACATTTAAAAAAAGATGCATTTAAATTAATGTAACAATAGGGAGCGCTCTTAGCCTGTTCCGAAAGTAAAAAAAAAAATTGAGAACCTCCTCCTTTTTTTAAGTCGTTTACTACCTCTATTACGGTCGTATTCCAGAACTCTACTCAATGCTCAATTCAGAACTTGAGTATGATTTAAAGCACTAGAAAACAGTTTTTATCGCCTAAAAATTTTATATAAGATGCGAGATTATCTCAGCACGGATTTGCGGTTGAAATTGGTGGAATCCTTGATTTTGTCTAAATTTACTATGCAGATACAGTTTACGGTTCTCGTCTTCTGTGTAAAACTAAAGCATTAATACAGCGAGTTCAAAATGCATGCCTAAGATTTTGTTACCCAATACCTCCTAGAAGTCATGTATCGCCATTTTTAAATAAAAATAAATTATTAAATATGTCTTCACGTCGGTATATACATTTTGCCACTTTACTCTTTGGTATAATAAAACATAAAAAACCGTATTACCTATATAAAATTTTAATATGATCTTCGCAATTGCGTCTTGGTCGGCTAATTGTCCAGTGCCACAGAACTGCAGCATTTCAAGGGAGCTTTAAGTATGCCGCGGCGAAAATCTGGAATTATTTGCCTCCTCCTATTCGCGATGTAGCTTCTTTGTCTGGCTTTACTCGCTAATAGGACAAATGAACGGCATCTATCACTAAAACTAGTTGTTAATTTATTTTAGTACTGTTATGACTCGGACATTATTCTTATTATTATTATTATTAATTTTGTTATTTATACTGTCTAAGAGCACGCTGCATATTGTAATAATTATATTATAAATTGGGTATTGTTATTTTAAATGTTTAGGTTACGGATCAAATCCTTGTTATTCTTTTTAGTTTTTGTTAAAAAGGCATAGCCACCTAC